GGGACTACCTGGAGGCCAGCGGCCTGGCCGATATCCCGCGGCCGGTGCACCACCGCATCCCCAACTTCAAGGTACGGCGACCCGCTTGTGGGTCTGGGCCGCTCCTTCCTCTGCCTTCCTGCACCTGGGACGGGGCAACCCCCGGTATCAATACAGGCTGGGGGATGAAGGGATTGGGAGCAGCCCTGCGGAGAAGGACTTGGGGGTACTGGTGGATGAAAAGCCGGACATGAGCCAACTATGTGTGCTCCCAGCCCAGAAGGCCAACCGTAGCCTGGGCTGCATCCCCAGCAGCGTGGCCAGCAGGTCGAGGGAGGGGCTTCTGCCCCTCTGCTCTGCTCTGGCGAGACCTCACCTGGCGCCCAGCGCCAACCTCAGCACAAGAAGGACATGGAGCTGTTGGAGCAGGTCCAGAGGAGGCCACAAAAATGATCCGAGGGCTGGAGCCCCTCTCCTACGAGGCCAGGCTGAGGGAGCTGGGGTGGTTCAGCCTGGAGAAGAGAAGGCTGCGGCGAGACCTTAGTGCGGCCTTTCAGTACTTAGAGGGGACCTACAGGAAGGGTGGGGAGAATCTTTTTAGCAAGGCCTGTTGTGACAGGACAAGGAGTAATGGTTTTAAACTAAAGGAGGATAGATTTAGACTGGATATAAGGAAGAAATTTTTTACAGTGAGGGTGGTGAAGCACTGGAAGGGGTTGCCCAGAGAGGTGGTGGAGGCCCCATCCCTGGAAACATCCCAGGCCAGGTTGGACGGGGCTCTGAGCACCCTGATGTGGTTAAAGCTGTCCCTGCTCGCTGCAGGGGTTGGGCTGGATAATCTCTAAAGGTCCTTTCCCACCCAAAGCATTCTATGATTCTGATTCTTGCCCCAGCCTTGGGCCTTGCCAAGCCCCGGAGCCCAGGCTGGCAGGGCTCCCCCCACCTGCTCCCTACTTGTTGTTGCAGCCCCTCACACAGGCAGCTGTGAACCGCAGGTTCCCATGGGCTGTGCGGTTGATGAGTGACAGTAGAGGGTGGCAGAGCTCTGAAAAACCCCATGATGCGAACAGCACGCATCTGTGATTTACAGCGAGTAAGAAACGCAGGTGTCCGTACCTGACAAGACGTGGCAGGCATGTGCTGCATTTTAATCGGGAGATACAAACCCACTTTGTGACTGAGATAAATACACTTCTGCGTGGGGAAACGGAGGTGTTCAGAACTGGATTTCCCTCCCCAGGGTCTTCAGCAGGTCCGTTGGGATGGAAAGCTGAGCTCACCCATCTTGTAGGACTTTGCCTAGGAACATACAGCTGCTGAAATGCGAATGGTGGCCAAGTTGTTGCTGGCAAAGTGTTGCTGGGCAGTGGTAGGAGAACCCTTCTTCCTGCTCTGGCTTTGTTTGGGACACCAAACTCTTCCTAGTTTGGTGGGTGGGAGAAAGAAACGAGGACTTTCAAGTATTTAGTTACTCAGGCCACTGCTTTATTGTCTGCCTATTTTAATCCAAGCTTAAGGTGTGCAGCCCCGTATCTGCCATATGTTGAAGAAGTGATGGCCAGAATAGCATTGTGGGGATGTGTGTTGGGTGTTTTAGCCCATGAGCAGCATTGGGAGATTGGCTCTGCTTTTGCTCAAGGGACTGGCAGAAACGTTCTGCCTTAGTTCGGCGCTGAGGGAAAATAGGTGCTGAAGCGGGTGGAGGAAGCCTGAGGCTTTATCACGCCCTTAAGCAAGGAGATATCAGAGATGAAATTACAAGGCGAGTGTGTGCTCTGCTAAGCTTGAGCACCTTGCTCAGTTAAGAAGTGAATCTTCTGAGTTCAGTATTGTCCTGGTTTCGGCTGGTACAGAATCTCTGTAAAGAGAGAGCCTTGTCCAGAAAGTCTTCATCTAAAAGAGTCTTACATTATGGCTTGTATTAAAGGAATCTATTTGTATTTGTTGACTAAAAAGGGGAATTGGTCTCCAGCTTTGAGTTTGATATGAGGGTGAAGTCAGGCAAAGTGAGTGTACTTGGATCCCCTCTTTTTCTGAGGCCTGCAAGGTACTACTCAAGCGCTCAGCATCTGTTAGTATGTGAGAGTTTCCCATAGAAAACATCACAAAATTAGCAGTATGTTCCTCATATGTAAAATGTGGGGAAATCAGCCTCTCTATAGGATGAAAGACTGTAACTTTCCCATCTCTGCTGTGAACTCTTTGGTGATGCACTGATATCTTACGGAAACAGGGTGCCTCCCATGCTGCGACGAGGCTTCTGGGTTTACAGGAGTTCAAAGCTGCCAATACTGTAAAAATAAATCCTGATGCTCCCCAGAAGAATGCTCGCTTTCTAACACTGGAAGTAAGTGAACGTATTCTCTTCTGTCTTGATTCCTTTCTTCATGCAGGGGTCTCACCAGGCTTGCTGCTCTATTAAAGAGCTGGATGTGTTCAGCAGAGCACGTGAGATTAAAGTGGATCCTGACAAACCTCTAGAAGGTGTTCGGCTAGCTGCGCTGCAGGTAACGGCACCTATGCACCCCTAAGGCGGAGAGTGGGACAGAGCGCAGTCTATGGCAGCATCTCACAGTCAACGCCTGCCATTTCTCCGGTGGGAGCTTTACGAGCAGTAAGCCTCGTGAGGTTGCTCGTGTAAGGATGTCTTCGCTGTTTTGGCAAATGGCAAAGGTGCAAGTAGAGTTCGGGGAAAGTAATGCGTTTCTGCGGAGCTATAGCTGTTTCACTGTCGTTGTATTCTTATTCCCTGAAACATGTAAGGTAGCCTTGTCTCACATTGCCTTAACATTTATTGCAAGTTGAATGTGTGACAGACTTACCTCAGACCTATGCATGGCCACTAGCTTTATATGTGTAGCTCATTCGTGGACATGCACTTCAGACCAATAGGTATGTCTTGCCATCTAGTTCTTAAATAAAATCTTGTCTGGAATTTTGTTGTACTGGAGGGGATTCATCTGCAAGCGCTACACAATCAACAACACTAACTACTCTGTAGCAAATAAGATGATATACCACATGGAGACCTATGGGACAGTAAAAATATTTCTTTAGTGTACAATGAACCCACCTCTTTTTAATGTGATAACTTCTTTGTTACACAGGCAAGGAAGAATTTGTTGGTTCCAACACCACGTCTAAGAACTGGGCTGTTCAATAAGATTGTTCCACCCCCAGGTGCAACTAAGGAGATCCTGCGAATATGTGCTACATCTCGGGTAGGAATGGAAAATGGGGGAGGTCTGAATGAACTTGTAGAAGAGTGTTGTGTTATGATAGTCCAGTTAGCGGCTGGAAAACGAGACGCTACCTGAAATACTGTTCTGCTAGTATGTTATTCCTGGGTTTGTGTACACATCCACCATTAATATTTTTTTTGTTGGTACTTAAATCGTGAGGAAATTCAGTCTTTTTGCTATATTTTATTAGCAGAATGGTATCCATGTTTTGTGAATGCTTTTTGGGACGTTAGAGCAACTTTCCTAGGTGACTTAGATCTTTAGGTTTCTACTAAATAGTACTGCTATATTTTCCTGCAGCTTTGAGCTAGTGAGCCCTGTAAGGAATATGTTAGTGTTTGCAGATTTTGCATAATCTGGTCAATAAAATATTGGGTTTTACTACGTAGGAAGGATCGGTTCTTTCAGAATCCTAAGTCTGCAGAAACGTTAGTTCTGTCATTTGCATCAACCGAGGTATAAAAATGTGTGACCGGTTTTCTTTTGAAGTGTGGTATGTTGCTGCCCTCTGGTGTTAAACAGCATACTGTACAGCTGAAGGCATTTGGCCCAGAAACCTGCGTTATTTTAGATGCGTCTTTATTTGATATGGAAACGGTAACTTGTACAAAATGAATAGGCCAGCTATATGGGGTCTGTTTCATTCGTTATCTCGGGCTAAAGGCAATAAAGTTCCACAGTGATCCTGTATACAACTGAGGGTTGTAAATGGATGGTAAATGTTAGCGACTTTGTTTGTTGGAACTTCTATTAAGGTCATTAACTAATTAAGCTTTTCAGGGTTGAAGAGCACTTTTGAGAGAGACCTTTCTCTTGACCTGCTTCAGGCCTCATATCTGATCTGTGATCTTACCACCATGTGTCTGTTTTTTTCCCCTAGCCAGGCGTCGTAATGAATAAATGCTATTAGCAGTTTATATTTACAAAGCACTGTGCAAACAATTCTTGCCCCACTGCTGTGAAGTGGATAATGAGCATTATTACTGATAGTCAGCCACAAATTACTGATCTTTTTGTTTCTGTGCTCTACACAGAAAATATTTGGCTTTTTATGGTGAGGATTAACTTAGCACAAAGTTGAACTGGTGCGAGGAGGATTTACATTACGCTGTACGTATGTATTAAAAGTGAATGAATTGCAAGGTATCTTTCTAAAAGTTTTAAATCTCTGATGCCCAAGTAAACACCATTTTTAATTTCTGCAGCTCTGTACAGACTTTTGTTAGGCTATGCTCTTTAGAGAGGAGCCTCAAGAGGGGTGGGTGGGAATGAGCGGGGAGAGAGGGGAAGAAAAAAAGGATGCCAGGGCTATGTAAGGTTTTTCTTTCCACTTGCCAGGAACAGTGTGTTTTTCTGTTTGTTCGTCTCCTAGATAGAAGGTTACGGCCAAGGTAGCTTAGCTTTGCAGTGGCACATCCTGGATGATGATCATGCAGCAAAGTGTTGAGGAATGTAGTCTCAGGAAACTCGTAGGCAGCTTTGGAAGGTGCTTGGAAAGATACAGGTGTGGAGAAACTGGCAGTGCAGTGTGAAATGGAAAGTGATCCAGCTTGTGTACCTGGTTGCGCTTCAGTAAAGCGTTTTGTGTGGCTTCAGACAAGCAGCTTAACATCTTCATGCCGTAGCTGGCTGTGTCTAAAATAACTTTGTGAGAATTAATTTAAGATCTTGTAGTGCTCTGATATTCCTCATGGGCATGAATTTACACATTATGACTTCAAGGTGGTGGTAGTAGTAGTAGGAAGTGTCGTTTGCCCTCATTTTTAGAAATGGATGTCCAATAAAGGGTTTTGAAATATGAGGTTTTGATCCTAAATAAGTAACCTTGCCTAGAAAAGTGCTCACCTCCCTTCACTCTCCTTGAAGTGTGCCAAAATTCTTGTCACTGTAGGGAATGTATTCTAGGATTCCCTAGAGGATAACTTTCCAGACATGTACAGTTTGGCTATACATGGAAGAAACACTTTGAAACATGGGGAGTTACTTGGATTTATCAAAATGTGCTGAATTTCTGCCTCACTGGTTGGAAGACTGCACCCTGCGAACTGAAAATTATGTTTTTCTTGCAGGGTGTAAGAGAATACAGTGTGCCTGTAGGTCTTGATGGGAAAGCACGAGTGGACTTGGTTGTTGTAGGATCAGTGGCTGTCTCTGAAGAAGGTAAGATAAAGCCTTGTAAGCTTTTTCAGCAG